CTGGGCCTGTTCTGGGAGCTGGTGGCGGCTCTGTTCTGCCCCTACTCCAATTGGGGTGACGTGTCTGTCGTACCAGCAGGCCACTGGGCCTGTCCCGCTGGTCGGTCGCAGATCTGCCCACCTTTCGGGCACGGGTGGAGGCTCTGCTTTGCCCCTACTCCAATTGGGGTGTCGTGACTACCCCGCCTGCAGGATGCTGGGTCTGTTCCTGGCAAGGGAGGCGACTCTGCTCTGTCACTACTCCAATTAGGGTGGTGTTTGTACCACGCCGGCAGGCTCCTGGGCCTGATCCGCCGGTCTGTTGTAGGTCTGCCTACCTTGAAGGCGCGGGCGGCGGATCTGCCCTGCCCCTCCTACCACGCCTGCGGACCCCTGGGCCTGATCTGCAGGTTGATCACTGGTCTGCTCACCCTGCAGGCACGGGTGGCGGTTCCGCTCCACCCCCACTCCAATTGGGGTCACGTGACCACCACACCGGCAGGGCCTGATCCGGGCGTGGGATAAGGATCTGCTCTGCCCCTACTCGAGTTGGGGTGACGTGTGTACCACACTGGCAGGCCACTGGGCCTGACCCGCCAGGCTGTCACAGGTCTGTTTACCTTGCAAGCACGAAGGGCGGCTCTGCCCTGCCCCTCCTACCACGCCCATGTACTACTGGGTCGTGGGTCTGCCCACCTGGCGGGTGTGGGTGGCGGCTCCGCTCCGCCCCCTCTCCAATTGGGGTCACGCGGTCACCACGCTGGCGAGCCGCTGGGCCTGCTCCGGGGGCTGGCGGCGGCCCGGCTCCTTCCCTCTGGCTCGAGGACAAATTGAGGAGACTCGGGTGACTGAGCCTCACCCCCCTTACCAGGAGACCAACTGCTTATGTCACCGCTGGTATTGATGAAGATCTCTCCTCCACCGCTTTCTGCTGACATCAGATCTCTGCCATGTTGGTATCCTATGCGAATGGCAGCATTTCGTTCCCCTTGCCGGGCAACCCAAGCAATGGGTGAGTCCTGACCTGCCCTCAGCAGGACCCGGACCGAGACACAGTTTCCGCGGGCTCCTAGCCCCGGTCCAGGGAAGTTCCGGGAGCCGGAACTCGGCCGCTCCGTGCTCGGTGTAAGCTCCTATAAGTGTAAGCTCCAAGAAGCAGCCCCCGCGGGCTCAGTTCCGGGAGCCGGAATTCGGCCGCTTAGTGCTTGGTGTATGCTCTGATAGTAGCAGGGTCCAAGAAGCAGCCTCCGCGGGCTCCGCAGCCCTGAGCCAGGGTGGTTCCGGGACGGTTCCGGGAGCCGGAACTCGGCCGCTCTGTGCTCGGTGTAAGCTCCTATAAGTGTAAGCTCCAAGAAGCAGTCCCCGCGGGCTCAGTTCCGGGAGCTGGAATTCGGCTTCTTGGTGCTTCGTGTTTGCTCTGATAGTAGCAGGGTCCAAGAAGCAGCCTCCGCAGGCTCCGCAGCCCTGAGCCAGGGCGGTTCCGGGACGGTTCCGGGAGCCGGAACTCGGCCGCCCCGCGCTCCGTGTTCACTCCGATAAGATCAGATTTTAAGAAGCCCCCAGGCGCTGAACCCTAGCAATCTGTCTGCAAGCCGCAGGCGAATTGCAGCCTGAAATTACCTGTTCTATGGCTGAATGAGCTGCGGTCAGTCAAAAACAGGTGTGGTGACGTCAGTTTACCAACATGGTGGCTGCTGGCCTCCTCTGTGGTCTGACCGGTGTAGAAAACCAACCTACTCAATCATTTGAGTTTTTTTAATCATGTATAATTTATAATTCACCAATAAAAAACAAATAAAATTATGTATCTAATAATATTTTTCCCTAAGTTAAATAGACACATAGAGGATATATTTTTATCTTGGAAGTTAAAGGGAATATCCTGGTGGTGAAGGTATCTTAACAAGCCTTGAAAGAGGAATAAATATCAGCCTCATGAAAAAAAAAGTGGAAGAGGAATTTCTTGATAAGGAGAAGAGATAAAGGCAGAGGGATGTGAAATGCGATACTTTGTATGGGAACAACCCTACCCAGGTTTTTATCTGATGAAGTTTAGAATAGACACAAGGATGTGTAAACATGGAACTAGAGAATAAAGAATAAGTCCAGGCCAGACAGAGGTTAGATTTATTTTGTAGACATTCTGAAAAGTTTTAAACAAGGGAGTAACATAGATAGAATTCATTGTAAAAGAAATCATTGTTGCCTAAGTGTACCGAGTCTACTTAAGGAGTGAGAAGTGGACATCACTGGAGGAAAGGACAAATTATAAAGCTGTACAAGCCATCCAAGTAAGAAATGATGCTTTGAGTGGTACAGCTGTGGTACTTACGGGAGCAGTTAAAGAAACATTTAGTAGGTAAGATAGGTAAGACTTGGGGTTGCAGCTATGGCTCAGAGGTAGTACACTTGCTTAGCATGTGTGAGGCACTGGGTTGGATTCTCAGCACCGCATACAAATAAATAAAATAAACATCTATCAACAACTAAAAAAAATATTTAAAAAAAATAGGCAAGACTTAGTGACTACTATTTATGAGGTTAAGTTGAAAGGGAGAATAAGGCACAAGTCCAGATCCCTTTTCATTAACTGAAGCTCCAAATCTAAGACAAAAAAAGACACTTTAGATCATGTTGGATTTGAAGTCACAGTCAGACACATCCAGCAAGCAAATAAAAAAGGGAGCTTAGAGAAATAAGAGCTGAAGACAGATATTCAAGGTATCTATAGAATATCACCTACCTTCTAAGATAAAGATGAGGATTAAATTAGATAATGTGTATAAAGTGCTTACTGCTTCACGGCACTAAAAATAAATTAAATGGTATCTTTAGGTTCCTCGCTCAATGAATGTAATTTCTTTTCCATCCTGGGCAAAATTATCAAACCAATCTCTGTATTTAGATAGAGCCTAAAGTTAAAGCTACAGCTTAACCTAACGGGCTCTCCCTGGGCTTTACAGAAAGCTTAATAAGCTGACTGTCAATCTTCTAGTCATTTCTTCGCTAATCACTGTTAAGGAGCTAGCTTAATAGTCCATATTTCCCCAACTATAACCAAACAGTGTTTGCCCTCTTGCTTCTTTTTGTTAAGAGCCTCCTGGTAAAAAGGATCCTGTCTTAGATCCTACAAAATCCATCCTAACATAACACCTCTGACTCAGGAAATATAAATTTTTGAGTCTACCAATATAAAAGTGAAATAATAAGAGTGATAATGTATTGATTCACTTTTTAATTCCAACAAAGGGATCCAAAAGTTGACAACCTTAAGGAGGATGGAAAAGTTGGAAGACCATGAAGGAGTGACAAGTCTTTTTTACTCTCCTCCCCCTTCTTCCCAAATCTCCTCCCTAAGACCATAGTGATGACCCACCAACATGGATCAGAATACCAGATTTTTCTTTAAACCGCCCTCGTTAACCTCATATAATCTTTTAAATCTTCCCTTGTAAGGAATTTTTTAAAGCTATTTGATGCTAATTTCTAACTATGGCTAGCAACAAAAATAAAGAAAATGATCTCTCAATGTATCAAAAAAAATTCATTGTAACAAGGAAATTGCATGGTATATAAATTAAATAAAATAAAAACACTTTAAAAGAACAAAAAAATTAAATAGCATCTCTTAGTTTTGATTTACACTGATTAGGTTTTTAAATGTCCTTTTGTTATGTTCAAAATTTAAATTGGGTCAGCTTGATACCACCAAATATCCTGCTGTGGTGTTAGAGAATTAAACTTATTCATTGCCTCAGCCTAATTACAGAGGTCTTTAGGCCATAGAGTGTTGGAGTGGTTGATAATGGATCATGGTTGCTCCCAGGGATGTGTAATAGCCTGTCCTTCAAAGGTAAGGATTATTAAACTAGTTCTTAATATCAAGTAGAATAATCTGTACTATACTTTCTTTTCTTATTATCAAAATACCCTGAAAATGAAGCAGTGTGAAACTATGTTTGCTACTCAAGTGTTTGCTCATTTGCCCTAGAAAAAAACATACACTGCTGGTTTTCTAGGTATAAAATCTGACTTACTCCTAGATTCAGACCATTAACAACATAATTCTACAATGAATAACATTGGGCAAAATGCCTGTTAGAGCAATATTTTGTGAACTATTGAATTTATGGACAATATCTTTTCAAAACATATCACACTTTAATTTTCCTAGTGCTTATACAATGCCATAGAAAAAGGCCTGTTTATGATCCTTTTGTTCTCTCAGGAAAAAAAAGGAAATAAAAGTAATTTTCCTTGTAATGAAATGGAAGACATATTCCACAAGAAGAGTAAGTGGGCCATGCAAGGCCCTGTTCTGCAGTGATATGAACCAGGCCAACACAGAAGTCTCTGGGCTAAGTCTGTCCTGCCCTGCAACTCAACATAGGTAACTAGAGAGGGAAGAAGGAGTGCCCTTTACAGTTAGAATAATGTAACCCATACATTATATATTGACTTTAGCAATGTATGACTATGTGACAACAAATCTCACCATTATGTATAATTTTTTAAAAATTTTTTAGTTGTAGATGGACACAATACCTTTATTTTATTTATTACTTTTTTATATGGTGCTGAGGATTGAATCCAGTGCCTCACACATGATAGGCGAGCGCTCTACCACTGAGCTACCATCCCAGCCCCATTATGTGTAATTATAATGCACCAATAAAAACTATGGAAAAAAAGAATTTATTAACTTTAAAATTTGGAAAACTTTTGGAGCTCAGGAATCACTATTACATTCATATCTAGAATTTTTAAAGAAAAAGTCAAAATCCTGAAGCCAGAAGAAAGCCCTATAACACTTATCATTACTACTCAACCTATGTGAACTTAGTATATTTTATTTACCAAATGCTCAGTCAATTCCAAAGAATTTCAATCACCTGGATTGACCATCACATCAATGACTTAAAATTAGCCAAGATTTCTATGTTGTTCTCCTTTTAGATTTTGATTAAAATATAAACATTCCCATCCTACCTTCCTACAGAGCTGCACGAAGCATACCATACCTTTCCCAGCCTGTTATCAGTATTGTCTTCTTAAGAACCAGGATCTGTGAAATATCCACAGCTCCATCTTTCCCAACATTTAGAGTGTGGTGACAATAGCCATTGAAGTCCCATACCTTCAAAGAAAAATCAAAAACCACCTTTGAGGCAGGAAATGAAATTATCTTCAATAACTAAAACAACACAGTATAATAGAATTATTTTAAATCTTCATATTCACATTCTGAGCTAGAGTTGTAAGGCTATGTAATAATTAAATAAAATCCTCTAATTTGATTTAACCATTGTGTTTATCACTTTATGACCTTGTGAAATATATGTGTGTATGTGTATACATATTTATTTGTGAAATATAATGTCTATGTAATATATACTATCTCATATATGCTATATCATATTATATATTCACTCATTCTGGCCTTCCCAGACCTTCCTCCCTAAGACTGTATAAAGTGATGACCTACCAACACAGATCACAATATAAGATATATAGTCTTCTATCCCTTCTTTGGTTAAAAACATAAAATAAAATAAAATAAAATAAAAAAACTTTGAGATCTCAGAGTGACAGGAGCGTCTGTAGCATGCTAACAAAATAACCAGCAATTGGGTTCCCTGCATGGCATTTGGAAGCTGACCACAAGAAAGACAAAAACATTAGAGGGTATGGACTTTGAGCCCCAAATACTTCTTAGGGAGAGGGACTGGAAACTCAGTAGATCACTAGTGACCTGTAATGTAACTGATCATGCCCACATAACAAAAAATCCAAGGGCAGGGATCAGGGAGCTTCTATTGCAGGTAGCTGAGCATGCAGATGTGCCCAGAGCACCACACACCCTGAGGTGGGTATCATGGATCCTCCATACCCCTTCCTGTATCCCTAGCCTTTTGCATCTTTTTTTAATCCAGCTTTTCATCTATATTAGGTTAATAAAATAAAGTGTTTCCCTGGGTTCTGTACTAGCAGTTAAGCAAGAGAGCAAGTTGACAGTATGTCTCAAAATTAAAATGTATATACGCTTTAATTAAAAATTTTAACTTCTAAGAAATCATCCCACAGATACAGTAATTTGTGTGGGATGACATATTTTCAAACCTGTCTTGCAGCATTGTTTACAAAATCTAAAAATTTGAATCAACCTAATTGCTCATTAGTGACTAAATGATCAGAATATGAAATATCTATGTACTGGCATACATTGTAACCATTAAGAAGGATGATTGAGGTTGGGGGTATAGCTCAGTGGTAGAGCTCATGTGCAAGGCCCATCCCCAGCATCAAAAAAGGAAGGAAGGAAGAAAAGAAGGATAAAAAGGAATTGTTTCCTTGCTTCTAGACTCTTCCAAAACTCAGTCAGTTATGGTGCCTTGCGTAAGTTGCTTTATATCTTGGAGCTCTAGTTTCTTCATCTGTGAAATTGGGATAATAACAATGATTTCTAATATATCGGTGATTACATTACTAAATTCACATTAACCTCTAAGATGTCAATAACAATAACAATTAAGCTGTGTGTGTGTGCTTATGAAATGCTTGCAACCATGCCTCATTCATAGTAAGCATACAGTGAAAATCAGTTAACATTATTATTCTACACATTTATATTAACAAGTGTCCAAGACAGAAAAATGCAAAATGCAGAACAGTGTGCATTGTAGGTTATCATTAAGAAACAAACAGTGCTCATAGGCTAGAAAAATGCACAAGAAACCAATAACAGTGGTAGCCTCAGGAAAGGAGCTGGGAATAGGAAGGAAAAAAAAGACTTTCTTTCCACTACACATCTCTTCTATATTTCAAAAAAATTATTGTACATACATTTAATTACTTAACATATTAATTAACTTAAAAACAGTTCCTTCAAAACTATGATATATAGGACATTAATTTTATATCTTTGATTACATAGGTACTGAGTTTATATTCTAAATTAAAAATGGGATTGGAAAATGTCATTGACTCTTGTTTCTTCATAGAATTCGGCCAGACCAGCTTAACCCTGATTTTTATGACCCGTGCAGAGATAGCCAGATTTAAGAACTCTGTTTTGCTATGGTGATAAAGATAAATGCACCTTCAAAAGCAGTGATTATATTACTAAATTCACATTAATCTCTAAGATGTCAAGGCTTCTGCAGAGAATTGAGAGGCATACCTACTCTTTACCCATGTTATTTTCTTTTTCTCTAAACATGACTAAAATAATTCACACAAGTAAATATTGCAAAGATCTGTATGTCCCAGGTCCTACTAATTATCTGGGATAATTTTATCTGCATCTACAAGTTCTGCCTTACCCTAGACAATACTCAGTTACTTTCCAAGATAAGGGTATATGGGACCTAATCTACTTGCATCCTTATTGAGTTCAATCTCATACCACAGGACTGGAAAATGAGAAATTGCTAAGACCATTTTGCCTACACCACAATCTAACACTCCAGTTCCATTTATTTCTGTTTTATTTCACCTAAGTTATTGGGATTGGGATTGTTTGGTACCATTGTACATCTTACCATCTCCTGCAATCTTATTGTCTTTCCTTAAACCCAAGTTCCCAGTTCTTGCTTATTCCTTTATTCTTTCCAGAACCAAGTTCTGCTGATTTTCTAGAGATTCTCCCCCTGAAGCCACCATAGTAATGGTTGCCAGCCTGGAATCCCCGTTATTTCTGGGATATTCTAACTACATATCCAACAGGCTCTAGTGACCCTGCCCAACAGCTTATCTGAATGTGTCACACACCTATCATGGCATCCCTTTCATAGACTGCCATGGGAGGTGGTCTACAATCTTTCTGATCCCAGTTATTGTGGTTTGAGGACCATTCAGTATTTATTCAAGAAACTGCCTTCTGTTTCCTCTAAGTGTGACAAGCCATTTCCACTCACACCAGCATGATTCTCTGTGCTGAAGAAAGCAGAGAAGAGTCACTGATGGGCATGATTTAACATAGCAAGCATCTAGCTTTGCACAAAAATAAGATCATTTTGCAAAGTAAAATATCACCTTCCTCCCAAAATAAATGAATAGCAGTTACAAATAAGAAAATTGTAAGCAATAAAATAGTGTCAGTTTAGGATGGATACTAAATGAGATGATGATTTTTTTCCTACTATCCTTTTCTACTCTCCCTTTTTTTATAAAGCAAAAATGTAAATTATTAAGTAGAATCACTTTATATACTTATTTTCTGAAAAAATCTGCATCTGTGCCGTTTTTAAAAGTTTACTTAAGTTGCCCTAATTTCTTATTTTATAAACTTAGGAAAAAGAAGCCTAGAGACATTAGCTGAAGCATGTGAAAATTATTCAGGTCTCTTATTCCCCAAAGTAGTCCCTTATCCAGTACACTGAAAAAGGCTTTCTGAAATAAACAAGCCAAGTTGTGTCTTTATTCTAAATAATTTATTCAGAAAAGTCATTTATTCATTTTTCCACAGAGGTTTATTTTCCTAGCAGCTTTTCTGTGAGATAGTTTAAGTTATTTAGCTCTCATCTTGTCCCATGGTTCTTCTTGCAGGGCCAAAAAGGCAAAAACGAGTGAATCTGTAGCTGCATCTCCTCTCACAGAATTTTAGCCTTCTCATATCTGGATAGAAAAAGCATCCTTGGGTTCGCACCTTTACAGTACCATCTGTGCTGCCAGTCAAAAGCCGTGTCTCATTTGCATCGAGGGCCATAGTGCTGATTTCTGCATTGCCATGGCAACCAGTAAACTGTTTGATTTTCTGCCCAGTGTCTATCATCCAGAAGGAAACAGTAGATCCCACATCAGAGCTGATTACCTAAGAGAAAATAACATTGTATGGGCATTAAATATAGACCCAGGGCCAACCATATTTTATCTCAATAAAAAATATCTAGCCAATGCATTTCCACTACCAAGATCCCCCAACAGTTAGAGACATTTTTGTAATGCATTTTATTTCTTTATGTTAAGCTGATAGCATTTCAATTTCTAAGCCACTACTGAGGTAATGAAGTCATGATCCTTTTTATCAGAGAAGATAGGAATCTGCTTCCTTTACCCACGACTCAGTGTAGTGTCTAGAGGCCATCCAGAAATCAAACCCTACCACAAATAAACTTATAAATCTTTTACATTTAGATAAGAAAGTTGATTTTACCAGTTATGGTGCACTGACACTATTTACTACGTGAAAGGAAACATTTTATTATGTATCAGCTTCCATTTAGGATTCTGAATAGTACTTCCAGCTATTCTGGGAAAAAGTTAATTTCAACAAATTACAAGAGCTATTGCTTTTTATGCCACGAGTCCCTTGATTTTTTTTCTCAAGGCAGTATATATACATATATTTACGGCTAAACACAATTATTGTTGTTTACTAAAAATAAACATCACAAGTTAAATATAAATCTGCATATATATTTCAAAAGGAGTGCAAAACAGGATTATATACAGTAGTCCAAAATAAGACATTTTATGGTAGCAAGTAGACGGCTAATTTCAGGTCTAAGTATTTAGGCACCTTTTTAAGTAGATTTATTGGTTAAAACCTCCTAGCTAATATAGCTTTCGAAACCCAAATAATAAAAATAAAAAATAACAAACACATAAATGTGTAGGTAGGAAGTTGTCTAAAGCAATAGCTAGACTTAGAGAAAACAAAATTTTTTTTTTCTGCTTAAGTCTTGATTAACATTGCAACCATTTATTTTTTAGCACTCCCTGGGTTATTTCAATGTGCAGGCTGAGATCATAACTACTGATCTAGATGGAGACACAAGCAAGAAACATGTCAATTCCAAGCAATGCTGCAAGTGTAAAGGTATCCACCCTTGGGTGCTGCAGGTACACAGAAAAGAAAACCCAAAAATACACTTACTGAAGTGGGAGATGGGGATGTAGGAAGTGGAGGTGAGAGGGGTATGTCAGGATTCACACAGAAGGTTATAATTGATGTGGAATTGAGTTAGACATATATATTTATTGAGTAACAGCCCTTTACATTGGTTATTTTAAAATTTTACAAAAAAAAATTTTCACCAAAAACTCTGCAAAATAATATTATGATTGTCATTTTACCGATGTTGACGTGGAGATTGCAGTGAGCTAAGTAGTGCTTCTGAGCTTTAATAACCAGGTTTGACAGCCTGAGCAAGTACCATGTCATAAAATCTATCTTTATTCCAGCTTAGAATCTATCCCAGGTTATTAAGAGACTGTTTGAAAGAGAAGGGGGCTTAAAAAATATTCCAAGCATGAGAAATAATGAAAAGTTCAATGAAGCACAAGCGCAAAACATTTGGAGTAATAAAAACAGTGGGATAGCAGAGAAAGGCAAGCTGGAGATCAGATTTTAGAAATCCCTTCTTATTAGAAGTTCCAGGAAATACTGAGTAATGTATAAAGTTGACTTTACTTGGCAAGGGTCTGAACCTTTCCTTGATTATCAGTGAGGTCTATAATTAACCTAAAAGATTAAAAGCAATTTTAGTGAAGTATGGTACAGAATACTTTTTGTTGGTTTCTTTGTGAAGATAAACAGTAGTTTGGAGAAATTGGATTTTCAGAAAGACCATTTGGAGTCTCTGTCATAATTCAGGTAAAAGATTCTCACCTAACCCACTAGTTCCAGAGGTAGAAAAGAGAGGAGAGATTGAAAAATGGGGTCTTTACCAATGTTTATGCCAAAAAAAAAGAAATGATCATCAGTGTATGATCTCTACTAGACCTTTTTTTCTGAAATTACAACTCTGATGAGACAATTTCTTAAATTATTTAAAATTATATTGTTGCTACACATTATCTCTCAGAGAAATCAAAAGTACATTAAATACTTAATTGCCATTACTATGGTATAATTTCTAGGATGGACAACCTGGATCTTTCCAAAAAAAAAGTGTCCTAACACCTTAATTATCATTCCCGATAGCTAATTGTGTTCCGGTTTGACTTGGTCTGTGCAATATGTTCAGTAGGTAAGAGTACAGGGATGTTCTTCCAGGATGTCTAGGTCTGACAGTTAGTGGTCTCACCAACTACTGGTCAACCTTGAGATTAAGGCCAAGCACAAGGCCTCAGTGTCCTCATCTGTAAGCCAGTGATAATCATGGCAACCAGTTCAAAACATTATTTTGAAGTTTAAATAAACTAAGATCTATAAATCACTTAACATAATGTGTGGCACGTCTGTCAATAAGCCATAAAATTTGGCTAGTATTACTATTCTATCTAAGTTTTATTTGTCTGACCTCTTATTTAGGTTCATATCACTTTGCATATCCAAATCAATTGAAGAAAAAAATATCTTGCCTTTTCTAACCATGACAGTGAACGTGGACAGTTAAAACTTTGGAAACCAGATTTTAGATATACATTGAAATTTCAAATTTATATCGTACTTATGAATTTCTCACATAATTGATTAGGAATTTAGATCATATTTATTAAAGACAAATCCATGAAAACATGATTTTCTAAGCATAAGTGAAAATTTTTAATAAGTGTCTTTTTAAAAAAAACATTTAAAGTTTGCAAAGAACCTTATTTTTATCCAAAAAGCATTTTTTTATAAGGTAGGCATTTTAGCACTAAAAGATGGAGATCTCCTAAAAGAAACAAAGAGACCAAAATAACATTTTTTTAAAAAGCCGTTTTCTGAGGAAAGACTTGCTTACTTGTTGACAGTCTGACCTCATCCACATTACAAACCATCGAATCATACGCCGCACCACTCTTCCCTAATGTAGACATTTGATCAGAAATTAGTAATGTTCACTTTTGCTCCTTTGCACTCTCTCTCTTGCCCACCTGGCTGAGCCCCAGCACACCATTCATCAGTTTCCATCACCTTTCCCTGCCCATTTAACAATTTCTCATGAAATCAGAATCAACAGTGACAACACCGCACAGCCAGTCTGATTTCATTTTATGGCAATCTGCCTTCCAGTGCTGTCTGCAGGAAAACAGTATGTCGAAACTGACTGTGTCACAAACATATGACTAGCATTAACCAGAATCTACTCTAACTATGACAATACTGGAATATAAGAATAACAATGCTGATGAAAAAGCTTTCAAAGGAGTACATCAATTGTCACTTGGCAGATGAAGAATGTGGTTTGACTCCAGAATGGTAAGGATTTTTTTTTAAAACAAACCATTTTTATTAAGGTACTAATATTGGCAACACACTTACACACCACCTTTTGATAATACTAGATCTCTATGGGTTCGCAGTTCATCATTCTTGGATGTCTCTTATCAGACTAAATCTCAGAAAGTGAGGATGGGACCCTGACAATCAGCAGAGCAGAAGTGGCAGTGTCCTCATAACTGTACTCTGGTGCAAATGAGTGTCATGAGCAGATCGTTGCTCTGTTGGGAACACACCTGACTGAATAGCTGTTTAGGAATTCCAGAGTCCTTTCTGTCTCTCTCACTGAAGCTGTCACAGATAATCAGACAATTTCAAGAGATGTGAAGCTGTATCTGTGTCACCTAATTGTCTTCTTATGAATCCCAAAACAATGGGCATGTTAGTTGTCTTTTACATGCATCTCAAGTCCTAGGTCTAAGAAAGAGCAGGAATCAAAAATTTCAGCAGCTGAAGCTATTGACTATCAGGCGATAGGGATGTTTGATTTAATTTTTGTTTGTAATTTTATTATTTGAGTCAGTGCTATTTACATTCTCATCACATAAAGCAGGTGACTTCTTGTATTTTCATTTCGTATCAAATCTTCAGAAGGTTAATCTCAGTGAGTAAGGAGAAGAGAACAAGGATAATATCTCAGAGTACTGACACAAAGAATTCAAATATATTAAGGCAGTCATTCTCCATTTATGAATATTGTTATTAGATTTTACATCTTCCTCAATTAACTTGTAATTTTCTCTTTCAAATTCATTCCTTGGATTTATTGAACGCTTGTAATGTTCAAGGTTCTGGATCTAAGCACTGGGGATCCAGCCATGAACTATTCTGCCCTTTTATTTTGTGGAGAGAGAGAAGAGATGCAGCCAGATAAGAAAAAAAGGAAAAGAAAAAGAAAAAGAATAGCACATATTAAAATATGAAGTTTGGTGGTGAAAAATGTTACAGAGAAAAACATGGCTCAAGAGAAAAAAGAGAGCATTGTGGGTAAGGGCAAAATTAGGGGCTAGGTGAAGGCCTCCCTGAGGAATCATTGAAGAAAGATAACTAAGATGAAGGAATGAGCCATGAAGATAGATACCACAGTAAAAGAGCTCCAGGTGAAGGAAACAGCAATGCAAAGCCCTGTGTGGGTGTCCTTAGCATGTCCACAGAGCAGAGCAGCAAGGAGGTCCAAAGGCCTAGCAGAGAAAGGGATTGAGGAGCCACTGACTGTCACCACCTATGGTCAAAGTACAGGAATTCAAAACACAAAGCCCCAGGTTACATTTGTGTAAAAAACCTTTAAATGATATATATTAAATATTAAGAATTTTTTGAGTATTATATAGACATTCAAAATAATATGTATAAAAGAATATATATGTTCACTTTTATAGGAATGGAATAGCCCTTGAAAGTCATTCATGGAACTCATAAAACTGGATGCTTACAGGGAAAGAAATGAGTAGGTAGATACAAGGGGATAAAGGGATATTTTCACCATAAATCTTTTGTCCTTTTGAATATTCTAACATGTAAATGCCTGTTACTTCCAAATGAGTTACATTAAATAAATGAACAAACAAGTGTGTGTGTGTGTGTGTGTGTACATACATGTGTGTGTATTTTAATGTAATCAACCAAATTAGTATGTTTCTTATGCTTCCATCAAGTGATCA